GGAAGGAAGGAAGGAAGGAAGGAAGGAAGGGTGATAAATTCTTTCAGCAAGCTTTTTTCCAAAATTGATCACTTCTCCCACCCCGCAAAAGAATTCCCCCCTCTCTCTCATCTCCTTCAGCTGCCGACTGCAACTGGTGTAAATCTTGCGGGACAGAAACGCAGCATGGACTCAAAGAAGAGGGGAATTCGGGAACCCAGGGAAGATCCGGGCTAACCCTGAGCCAGGATCTCGTGGGAGGGTCCAAGACGGAGATCTTCCAAGGGTGTGGAGTAAAAATCCCAGAATTCCAGAATGTTTGGAATTGAAGTCTCCATCCATCTTAAAAGTTGCAAAAACCCCAAATAGCAAACGGAACACCAGTTTATTCAGAAAAATGTCTGAGATCTGCCTCGTCCTGCTTAGCATCGAAAAGCTTGCTGGCAGGGGATTCTGGGAGTGGAAGTCCACTCATCTTAAAGCTTGCTGGCAGGGGATTCTGGGAGATGAAGTCTATCCATCTTAAAGCCTACTGATTGAGGAATTCTGGGAGTTGAAGTCCACCAATCTTAACGCTTGTAGCCTGGGGGATTCTGGGAGTTGAAGTCTTGCATCTTCAAACTGCCAGCTTTGAAACAGACTGGTCTACATGGAGAACATCTAAAAAGCATTTGAAATCTGCCCAAGGAAGATAAGGGCCTGGTGGGCTTTCTTGTGTCCCCTTCATGCTTTCTGCATTTAAACTGCCCTTGTAATCTGCTTTTAATTGGGCTTCACTTCTCCAAGAGGCCCCAGTCGATTCTTTCTTGAGTCCTGAAGCAAAGGGTCAGGTTGTATTAATTCACGTAGTAAATAAAATTCTGCATAATATGCAGAATAAAAGCAACGGCATTATTCTTTTCCCAGAATTACATATATATACTAACCGTGCTTCGCTATGAAACTATGTGGTTGGGCTTAGTTTTTGGGGAGGAAAATGTGGAGGGGGGGAATTCTGCCTCTGTCTACCAGCCTCCATCATTATTCATCTGGCTAGCATCCTGTCAGTGTGTGAAAGAGTTGCAGGCTGTTTGGAAACTGAAGCAGTATTTGTTGTGTGAGCAAGGAGGAGACAGCAAGGAGCCTGGGCGTGGTTTAGCTCAACTGTTCTGTACTAAAGCTGCTGGGTGCTGTGAAAGTAAAACTGAACCTCCTCTCCTCTGCTTGTGTTTTGCATTTGGAACGGATTTGTTTTCAGGTGGGGAGGGGGAGTAGAACTCCTTAGCATCAGAGCGTGTTAATAATAATAATAATAATATAGGAAATACTAAATGCTCTGATGGGTCATTTCGAAAAATCCTTTCTAAGTGAGCCCCTAGAAGCCAAGAGGAACATAGGTGCCAAATTTCAAGTATATATCGATTTGTATTTTCTTCCTTAGGCATGAACGTCATGGAAAGCTCCCCATACGAGCCTTTTGTAAGAGGGTTTGACTATGTCCGACTGGCATCCATCACGGCAGGTAAGGAGCGAGAATCATGGGAGCCGCATTGTTGCATCCTGGAGGGATTAAGAAAGCCCTTTTAATTTATTTATCCGGTTTCACTTTATCTTGTCTTCCTTCCTTTTGTGAGTAACTCAAAGTGGCGAACGTACCTTGTACTCCTTCCGCCTCTTCTTCTTCTTCCCATAACAACCACCCTGTGAGGTGGGTTGGGCTGACAGAGGGCGGGGCTGGGACTGGCCCAAAGTCACCAGCTGGCTTTAAAACCTAAGGCGGGACTAGAACTCACAGTCTGCTTGGCCCCAAATCACCCAGTGACTTTTATACCTAAGGCAGAACTAGAACTCACCATCTCCTGGTGATTGGCCCAAAGTCTCCCAGCTGGCTTAGAACCCTAAGGTGGGACTAGAACTCACGATCTCCTGGTTATTAGCCCAAAGTAATCCATTGACTTTTATACCTAAGGCCGAACTAGAACTCACTGCCTCCTGGCAATTGGCCCAAAGTCTCCCAGTCTTCTTTTGTGTCTAAGGTGAAACTAGAACTCACCGTCTCCTGGAGATTGGCCCAAAGTCTTCCAGACTTCTTTCAAGCGTAAAGTGGAACTAGAACTCACTGTCTCCTGGTGATTGGCCCAAGGTCACCCAGTTGGCTTGGAACCCTAAGGTGGGACTAGAATTCACCATCTCCTGGTTATTAGCCCAAAGTCATCCATTGACTTTTATACCTAAGGCAGAACTAGAATTCACTGCCTCCTGGCGATTGGCCCAAAGTCTCCCAGTCTTCTTTCAACCCTAAGGTGGAACTAGAACTCCCCGTCTCCTGGTGATTGGCCCAAAGTCTCCCAGCCGCCTTTCACGTTTAAGGCAAGACTAGAACTCACCATCGCCTGCTTTCTACCCTGCTGCCTTCACCACTAGGCCATACGGATTCTTGTCTAGTCCCTCTGTCCAAAAGAGGCATTCGGCACGTGCTCAGAGGAACAAAACTCTTTCCCATTTCCTGAGGCCTTCTCTAAGCTGGTTTGTCCGGGGAGCCTTGTTCGCCCCCGGGGACCATTTTCCCAAAGGCCGCCTCCGTCTCCCTTGCGCCTGGCCGACGGAGATGGACCCGCTCCAGCCGCTTCCAAGGGAACGCATCATATGTTCTGCAAGGGCCCTAATTAGGAGTAGCATTAGGCTCGGTAATTGGCCGATCCATCCTGGTTTCCCGCTTTCCACTTTGCCAGAATGGGGTTCAAGGTTACAGAGGCCACGGAAATGGATTCGCCTCATGCTCCATTAGGCAATTCCATCAGATGGAGGTCGCCCAGCCGAGGAGGCCTGAACTCCGCCAGAGAAGCTGGAGCAGGAAATATATATCCCTTGGCACTCTGTAAGGGCTGTTTCTCAACCTCCGCCAATTTAAGATGGGGGGAGGGGACTTCAACTCCCAGAATTCCCCAGCCAGCAAAGGGATTCTGGGAGTTGAAGTCCACCCATTGTAAAGCTTCCTGGCTGGGGGATTCTGGGAGTTGAAATCCACCCATCTTAAAGCATGCCGGCTGGGGGATTCTGGGAGTTGAAGTCCACCCATCTTAAAGCATACTGGCTGGGGGATTCTGGGAGTTGAAGTCCACCCATCCTAAAGCATGCTGGCTGGGGGATTCTGGGAGTTGAAGTCCACCCATCCTAAAGCATG